CAAAAGTGTTTTAGATAAGATCACATACCAGTGGAGAAATTCAATTTTTTTTACTACCGGTTCTGTGGGCATGGCTTGGTGGGCATGGCGAAGGGGAAGGATACTGCTAAATCTCCATTCCCTCCCCACTCTGGGGCCAGCCAGAGGTGGTATTTGCGGGTTCTCCAAACTACTCAAAATTTCCGCTACCGGTTGTCCAGAACCTGCCAGAACCTGCTGAATTTCACCCCTGATTAGTACCGCTTGATGAAGCCCTCGTTAAGACCACACCTGGAATACTGCAACCAGTTTTGGTCACCACGCTACAAAAAAGATATTGAGATTTTGGAACAAGTTCAGAGAAGAGCAGCTAAGGTGATCAAAGGCCTGGAGGCTAAAACATATGAAGAACGGCTGCAGGATTTTGGTTTGGCTAGTCTAAGGAAAAGAAGAATTAGGGGTTATCATGATAGTGGTGTTCCAAAGAAGAGGAGGGTCAAATTATTCTCCAAAGCACCACAGGGCAGGACAAGAAACAATGGTTGAAAACTGATCAAAGAGAGAAGCAATCTGGAATTAAGGAGAACCTTCCTAACAGTGAGGACAATTAGCCAATGGAACAGCTTCAGAAATCATGGGCGCTTCATCAATGGAGGTGTTTAAGAAGAGACCGGACAGTCACTTGTCTGAAATCATATAGGTTCTCCTGCTTGAGTAGGGGGCTGGACTAGAAGACCTCCAAGGTCCCTTCCAGATTCTATTCTTCTCTTCCTATTATTTCTATTTTTACTTCTATTTCTATTCTAAACCTTCTAGTACATTATGACTACCAGATAATCTCACATGGTTGTTAACATTACACACACACACACACACACATACGAAAAAAATTACACCACCTCCAAAGTTTAATGAAAAAATATTGATTTTTTGCAAAAGCCATGGTGAATATTTCTGATCCATGAGTGGATTCACACAACACTGCAAGCCCCAAGTCCTGTTTTAACAATGTGGTTGAGTTCACACAGCATGGTATTTCCACCTGCAGCCTTTGTAGATATTTATTTAACAGTAATTTATAGCTAGCCCTGATCCAAATAGACCTGTTACAATTTAATAGATGATCTGATTTCCACAACGCATTAAGAAAGTAGTGAGATTTAGTTAGTGAAACACAAACCCACATTTTAGTTTAGTTTTGAGTAAACTCTGTCATTAGGTATGTTTCTGATTACACCATGTCAGACAGGACCAAGGAATAAGAACAAATGTCTATAACGTCAAACTGCTAAAGCAAAGGCTGCAAATATTGGGGCCTTTCATTATATATTTTTAAAAAGCAATTTAAATAAGTGTTCAATTCTGACCCCCCTCAGAAGTGAAAAAAAGAATATCTAATTGATCAACCGCATAACTATCTACAACTATCAAAATGCCACAAAAAACACGGGGATTTCCTATCTATAAATAGAAGACTGAGACATAGATTGTACCTTTTGATTAATTTCTTGTTCAAAACAGTGGTATTCTTTAGAAATGAAGCTTCAGTCATGATGGGGACTCTTCTACCAGTTCCATTCTTCGGTTTGAATCTTCTGACACAACTCCTGAGGATGCACAGACCCTCCCCACTAGTGGTGAAAAAAATGTTTAAGGGGAATGGGATGATCTTCTGCAAGAAGGAACAGAAAAATAAAATTCTTCACCCACAATGGCACCTGGACTCAGATGTTTGATGTTAGAAACCTCAATCTCAAATCCGTCTGCAAACAAGTGTCTAAATCTAGCATGATTTGTTGTAGGCAAATAATTTTTGACACTCAAAATTGGAGACTTATTCTCCCCCCTTCTTCTTTCTGACCAGTCCTGTTAGCCAAACCAATCTTTGTCTAGCGTGCATTTCACTTAAACAATGGAATGGGGGAGGGAGGATCATTTTTACTATGGTCCCTGTGGTATTCCTGTTTCCAGCATGCTGCAATACTAGGAATGTGAAATGGGACCGGCTCTTCATGAAAAGCCTTCATTTCAAACCATACAGCTGGGAGCCATTTTCTTTCCTCTCAGGTATATGGCAATGTGTTCCAAGCTACACTAAATATCCAAATTTGGTCACCTATCAACCTGCTCATATAGGAAGCATAGCTCCAGAAAATCAATCAAGGAAGAGTAGTTGCATTCATGCTAGAGGTGAGCCATACACAGGGCTGAAATTCAGCAGGTTCTGGAGACCCGGTAGTGGAAATTTTGAGTAGTTCGGAGAACTGGCAAATACCACCTTTGGTTGGCCCCAGAGTGGGATGGGAATGGACATTTTTCAATATCCTTCCCCTTGGAGTGGGGAGGAAATGGAGATTTTGCAGTAATCTTAGCTTGCCACAGAACCGGTAGTAAAAATATGTGAATTTCACCACTGGCCATATATCTGTTGGCTCAAAGACCACTCTAGGTTTTGCACTGAATGTAGAGGTTTGTAAACCAAAAGTGAGTAGATCCTAGTTCTGTTTTTAACGAGGAAGTGAAATATGTACTGAAGGGGAATAGTAATAAGGATACAAACTTGTTGGTTTTAGTAGAAACTTTTGTTTTCTGTAACACACATATATTATGCCTTGTATTTGTAATGTATAAGCTTGCATGCTGTAAGTGCCTCTTGTTCCCTGCAACTGACTTCCTGTGGCACTGTTATTAGGGTCTGTAAAATATCTGNCTTGCCTCCAGAAGTTGTGAATGCCCCAACACTGGAAGTCTTTAAGAAGATGTTGGACAGCCATTTGTCTGAAGGTATAGGGTTTCCTCCCTAGGCAGGGGGTTGGACTAGAAGACCTCCAAGGTTCCTTCCAACTCTGCTATTGTATTTGTGTTTGTATAGTATTAGTTCCAATTTAATGGCAAAGATAACTGCAAAGCGGTCATAAGAATAACTTTAACTTCTATCATAATGGAGATAGTTTACATTTTAGTGGTAATGTTTGCTGTTGATGCTAGTACAAGTAGTTGTCGACTTACAACAGTTCATTTAATGACCGTTCAAAGTTACAATGGCCTGAAAACAGTAACTTTCACAGTTACGACCTTTGCTCCGTGATCATGTGATCACAACTCAGATGCTTGGCAACTGGTTCATATTTATGACCGTTGCGGTGTCCCAAGGTCAGGTGATCACTTTTTGCGATCTTCTGACAAGCAAAGTCAATGGGGAAGCCAGATTCATTTAGCAACCGTGTTAATAACTTATCAGCTGCAGTGATTCACTTAATAACTATGGCAACAAAGGTCATAAAATGGGGCAAAACTCCCTTAAGAAATGTCCCACTTAACAACAATGGATTCCGTCATAGGTCGAGGACTACCTGTACTGTATTTTGACATTCTTCACTTAGCTGCCAGTCAGAGAAAGATCTTTGATCACTATTGACTCTAAAAAAGTAGCAATATATTTTGCAATATAGGCTGGATTGTTGGGAGTTAGTGCTGAGATGTTTTTCTCTATTCCTGCTTTGGCATTTTGCTGAATATGCTTGGAACCCTCAGTTCAAAGTCAAATATCAAGGCCAGAACATAATCAGAGTAGCAGCCTTCAGGAATACGTATTAATTATTAAGTTGCCTTTAAGGAGTTCCAGAGAACTTGAATGACACTCTGTGTAATTCGGACCTGGTCAGATCACTGCCAGCAAATCTGCAAAGTGCAGCTTGAAGATGTCTGCATTTAGCTGCATTCTCAACCAAAGGCACGAGGGCAAATCGCTTAGCATGCAGCAGCACAAATATAAAAGGGTAGAGAGAGAAAAATGCATACCACAATAAAACTTGAATCTGACATTTGGGGCTCTCCCTCTATGCAAATATATTAGGTGCTTCTGGGCAATTCTTGTAAAATGTAGGATATTCCTCTGACTGGGTTTTTTCTAAAAGAAGGGGAAGTACTCTTATTCTGATGAATTGGCCAGGCTCGCCACGAACATCACTAGGTTGTTTCCAGAGGTGGTATTCAGCAGGTTCTGACCAGGTCTGGCAGGGGTAGGTTCCGGTAGGCCCGTGATGGCGAACCTATGGCACACATGCCAGAGGTGGCATACAGAGCCCTCTCTGTGGGCATGCACACTATTGCCAACTGCTGCTGCTGGCCAGCTGGTCTTCGCCGGCACTGGAGCATCAGAAAACAGCCCGAAAAACAGCCAAAAAAATAGGCTGTTTTCCAGGCTGGTTTTCAGAGTATCCGAAAATGCCCCCGAAATGGCCTGTTTTTCAGCCAGCTCCAATTCTGGTTTCCAGCACACACATGGGCGCTGGCCAGCTGGTCTCTGTGGGCACCAGAGCACCAGGAAACGGCCTGAAAAAGGTGCTCAAAATGGCCAAAAAACAAGCATGGGCACGCCGGCCAGTTGCTCTGGCGCACACATGCACACGCAGGCATGCGGTTTCCAGTTTGGGCGCTCAGTGCCAGAAAAGGTTTGCCATCACTGTGTAGGCACTACTGCCAGTTCACTCATGGGTGCACATGCGTGTGTTGCGCGCATGAGCAGTGCAATAAAAATTGTTCTGCGCAGAAGTGAAAAACAAGATGGCGGCACCTATGGTGCCATCCGGAGAACCAGGTCGGGGGTATGGTAGGTTTGCGTCACTGTCAGTTCCAGTGACCCAGGCCGCCAAACCACTACCGGTTCAGCCGAACCGGTCCGAACTAGTAGGGACTCACAACTGAGTTCTGGAGAACCGGTAGTAGAAATTTTGAGTAGTTCGAAGAACCGGTAAACACCACCTCTGACTGGCCCCGCCCCCATCTATTCTCTGCCTTTTGAGTCGCAGCTGATCAGGAGGAAATGGGGATTTTGCAGTATCCCCCTGCCACGCCCACCAAGCCACGCCCACCAAGCCACGCCATGCCCACCAAGCCGCACCCACAGAACTAGTAGTAAAAAAAATTGAATCTCACAACTGGTTGTTTCCCTTGCAGCTGCATGGTTGGCTTGAATTTGTGGGTAAAAGAAATGTTCTCATCCCCTTTTTTCTTCACAGCTGATGGTTTCTCCAAATCACAATTTTCTAGATGAACAACTCTATGCCGAGGGAACTCTGGTCGCATGGGATCCAGCCCCTTACCCTGGGGACCTAGAAGAGGTGAGATTCTCTAGTTAGGATCCCATTATAAGCTAGCCTAGGCTGAAATGGGGCTGAGGTAACCCGTGGTTCTCATATGTATTCATAGCATCTTGTGTGAGCCAGTCGACTTTTTAAGCTATCATATACAGGTAGTCCTTGACTTACCACCAAAATTGAGCCCAAACTTTCTGTTGCTAAGTGAGACTTGCTATGTGAATTCCCCCCCCCCTTCACAACCTTTTGTTAAGTAAATCACTGCAGTTAGTAACAAGGTTGTTAAGTGAATCTGGATTCCCTATTGACTTTGCTTGTCAGAAGGTCGCAAAAAGTGATCACATGACCCCGGGGCACTGCAACCGTCATAAATACATGTCAGTTGCCAAGCATCCAAATTTTGATCACGTGACCATGGGGATGCTGCAATGATTGTAAGTGTGAAAAACTGACATAAGTCACTTTTTTCAGTGCCTCTGTAATTTTGAACAGTCACTAAATGAACCATTGTAAGTTGAGGACTACTTTTAATTCGCTGGGGCAACAAGACAACAATTGTCTGCCTTGTATGAACATAGTATCTTTAATATCAGTAGTCTGGGACAGAAGGGGATTTGTGCATACATACATACATAACACTAACATATGGCTCATGAGCCACTCAAGAGAGATTGATATCCAGCAGTTACTGCAATGAATTTTTATTTTTTTTCTTCAAAACATAATATTTAAAACAGATTGCTATCCTAAAAAAACAAACCCCAAGGATGAAAAAAAAAAACAGGCCCAAAGTCTAACAATTTCAAAACTTTGTGCTAGAAAATGTTCCTTTCCTGTAGCGGATTAGAGAGATCCATCAAGTTATAGAAGGAGAATGAATGAAGTATGGTGTTCTTTGATCCGCTAAGTACTTTTTTCCATTAGAGGTATATATCGTGTTTCATTGAAAATACCCAACCAGAAAATGATGGGTTTTTTTGTGATACGGAATTATACTTTTATTTTGATGTCAAGATATAAGGTTTGAAAAGCCAGCCAAAGGGGCCAAGATTAGAATCTTACAGCAGATTTTTTTTTGATGATTTTTCAGGATGCTCGTAATGCCCTACCCCCCCCAAATAAACCCAAGTCAAGATCGTCAGCCAGACTGACATATTTAGTACCATATACCCTGAAAAAACACCTAATCAAAAAATAAGTCCTAATGCGTCTTTTGGAACAAAAATTAATATAAGACCCGGTCTTATGTTTGGGGAAAGATGGCTAAAAGCAGTCTTTTGCAGGTTTTTTACTTTTTAATTGTAAGCTATCTACAATCACTGAGTTAAGCAACCTATAAATAGAATGAATGAACTGTATGATGATTGAAGATGGACCTAGATATAAGTACTATTATCTTTCTGTTGGATTGGCATAAAACCCAACTTGGCTTGGCCAGAGTTTTAATTGATGTACATTTAGGCCAAGACTTGTATTTCCTGTGTAAATGTGTTTGTCTGGGTGAATATATGGGAGAGACATTTATATAAAATACAACTATTTTGGTCTTTGATACTTTAATTTCCAGATCCCTGCTTCTGGTTGTATCATATAGTGCAGGGGTCCACAACCCCTGGTCCATGGCCTGGTACCAGGCCCTGACCCATTTGAAACTGGGTCATGGAAGTGGTGGGTGAGTACATGCACACAAAGCCGCATTTGTGAAAGTGGCACCTCCATACACAAAACCATCCCCTCTCCTGCCAGCTCTGCTGGTCTGCCAAGCTGGAAAGATTGGAGACTGCTGATTTAGCATAACTATGTTTGCTGCAAAATCATTTGTGCTTTTAAACAAAACCATGTCTCCTTACAAAAATATTGAAATATTAAATAATACATCTTTAATCTTACAGCAAAATTTATTCACAGTGAGATCTTGTAACTTTACTGCTTTGAAACTCATTAAATTTGATACTCAAGGCATTTCGATGCAAAATTTTTCTCATGGTACTTAGCGTTTGATTGGTACTCAACGAATATCATGTATCACACATCAGTTGCACAAGAAGAACAAGGTATGCAAAAAGAGAACCTTCTGGTTCTCTTTTTGAGCCAAGGTGGCGCAGTGGTTAAATGCAGCACTGCAGGCTGACTGCTAGATCAGCAGTTCAGCGGTTCAAATCTCACCGGCTCAGGGTTGACTCAGCCTTCCATCCTTCCGAGGTGGGTAAAATGAGGACCC